TGTTTCTTTTTTCCCAAAATTCTAATACCAGTTGTATTAGTGAGCCAAAAATGTTATCCCCACTCAAGGAGAAAGGGGCAGAAAATGTACAAATAAGCCTTTTCTTAGTTCCTAATTGAAAATACTGTATTACTGAAAATAATACCAGAGGATAGAAAAGAGAAAGTTCTACTAAATTAAACATTTCACCTCTACCATCCTTGTCCATTCTATGCATTTTAGTGCTTCTTCCAGATTCATTTTAAGGGACCAATTTTAAAATCAGCAGAGGTTAGTGTTCAACTGATATTTACATGCAGAAACTGCCAGTTGGGTGCTCCCAGAATGCAAATTTCTACTTTTTCTCTTGGGAAAATATTTTCAACTCATAAAGTATGAATAGTTTTTTTCAGAATTCCAACTTAAATCTCTTGCTACACTAATCTCTTAGTGTCTTAGTACAATATCATAACATCCTAAATAGTCCTCTGAGACAGGTTTGACACATACAAGTCCAAAGACTGTTGTTTTTATAACTTTTCAAATAAACCCTCAGTTTCCAATGTGATTTATTTAGAATGCATTCATCAGTGCGTTCAACTATTATCCAACAAAATTTGGAAATGAAATACATGAAATGAGAAGAAAAGGAAAGGAAGAAAGGAGAGAAGAGCTTCTCACTGCTTTTCAACTTCCTTCTTTGTAGGTTTTTTTTTTTCTCTCCCTGTAATGCTTAGTTATCTTCTCAGGACTCTTCTCTCCCCATTACCACTGCATTTTTCCTTACCTGGTTTAGCCCTTTATTATTTTGTTGTTGAGTTAGCCGGGCCAAAGTTTCCCTTTCACTACAGAATTGATTGTTTTCCCACAGAAGTCTCAGAAATCAGTAGCACATTGAAAAGATAAGCACCCAGTGCCAGTGTTTCTCCAGGTAGAAGCAAGCAGTGACAACACTTCCAACAATAACTACTCATACCCATCCTGATGAAAACATTGCTGACATAGGCAATAGAATTTATAAAAAAAAGATCAGCAGAACATCATAATCTCTGTCATAAAAGTCTTAGCAGAAGCCATGGAACTTGTCGGTGCCTCTGCTTTATTCAGTCTGATAAGGCATTGATGATTATTTTGAGTCAAATAGTGAAACTGTTCTTAACCAAATTAAAAAAAATAATAAACTTTTAGTTTAGGCATTTGCTTTCTAGGAATCTGAGAACATTGTTGTTTTTTGTCTTTTTTTTAAAGTGTATTTTTATACAATTTGGAATCCTTATATAGTCTGAATATCCAAAGACATTGATGTTTTTTCTCTAACTCTTCAGAATTCGATCTAATACTCCATCACAAAGAAAGGTATGTTCCAACAGAAAAAAGGACTAGTTCAACCTGAAATATAGTTAATTAACAGATGGCAGGTGATCAACAACCTTAATCTTACATACAATATGAAAAAAAAGATAAATGATTTATGAAACTGCATTGCAGCATCAAATAGGAACAAGTTGTTTAGGAGTTAGTGGACTTAACACCTAGTACCCAGATCTGCAGAGGCTCTACTTAGTAACGCAACACTGACCTGTCTTCTCTCCCATTGACCACTGGAATTCAGTTCCAAGACAGGCTGGAGAGATGGGTGACCCAGGAAGACCATTTCAGAAAATGGTAGTTGACCAGCTAGACAGAAATGGCAAGCCACGGAGGATAGGGAAAAGGAAGACCTGCTTGATATCATGTGGGTACTCTCAAAAACAGAACTCAGATTTCCATCTCCTTGCTCAGACAACTAACTGTCCTTCTGAGAAATTAAATGAGCAAATTAAATCAAAGTTACAGAATTAAATTAGTCATAGGGGTCGGATTAATTCTGTGGTCCACTAACTCCAGTTCCACTTCACTAGATCTTCTCTCAGCTCATTTATTCCATCTTTCTCTTTTTTTAGATTTCTTCTTTTATTCATTTAATCTCACCTGTAGAATCACTTTTTAAATAATACATATATAAAGACACTTGTGTGCATGCATAACGTTCCAAGATGTAAGTTCTCTTTTTAATTTTTTTTTGTTGGTAACTTAGTTTATTCTTAACATTGTAGTCTCTGGAGCAGTAACAGGTTTTATTGGCATGTGATTTGAGCACCAAAATAAGAGAGCACAGCACTCCTCTCACTTCATTGCAGATTTCAGTTCATAATTTAAACTGTGATGTTCTCTGACTCTGGTATTTAATTAATCTGCAAAAGTACTGGGTGTTTTATAGAAGTAGGAAGGAGTCAGAAATAATCTGTGTTGTTCCAAGAAGGATAGGAAAGATTCTGGGAAAATCATAACTAATGTGGTTTCTGCATAACACATACATACTTACCCAACCAAATACATCCAAATGCTTTTTATGCTTATTATGAGCAAGCAGAAATATCTGATTTTTTTGATTAGCCAATAAAACCACTCAGTAAGAATGTATATATTGTTTAAAACAGTCACTGATATTATTTTGTATTACTCCAAAGAGGAATAAAGATTGTCACTGACATAGTGTCGCACTTGGCAATAGCTATACCTTTTTTTCTTAAAGGCTTCCTATGCATAACCTTCAGGAGTTAGTAAAAACTACCTGATTATAAAACCATGGTGACCATAAGTGTTTTTACAAATACTGGTTAGAGAGTAGCCATAATTTTTTAACATAAACCTGTTGATTACCGATGGCCTAGATTTAGATTTCCTGGAAAGAATTTTTTCAATATTCAGATATGCTTTTGTCATGGACACAATGTTACTAGCCAGATGGCTAAAGTACAAATAGCAATGTGTAACTGCAGTGCTTCTGCATGGACTCTATCACAATGCTTAAAAGAAATCACCAATGAAATGCTCTAATGCACTTTGAAGTAATAGGCAAAGCTGGAATCACAACCACAACATTTCACATTCAGGTCCATCTTTGTCCTCTATTAAAATTCCCTTAGAGTAGATATTATTTTTCATGTAGTACATCAAAGGATAATGTCTTGCCAAATGTTTCTTTGAGATTATTATGGAACTTTGGGTTTCATTCTGTATTATACTTATCAGAATCCTTGCATGGTATGATTCATCGTTACCTATCTCCACTCTGTCCTTTTTAAATCAGGCTGCCTTACTACAATATTCACTTGCAACCTTGAGAACTGTGCATCCAACAAGAGCTATTTACCCCCTCAAGATAGCAGAAATTCCTTCTTAAATCTACAGAATAGAAGCGTACTGTTCAGTAGGGTCTTCTTCCTGCATGCTGTTGCGTACTAGAAAGCTCCAAAGAGATTTTGATAAGAACTCAGAACATTATTTACCTGGCATAGGACCCTGGAAACTCACAGTAAGGGTCGTTAAGGAAGAAAACAGATGAAAAGACATTCAGAGATTATATAGATCTTTTTTTCTAATCTAAATCGTCCTAAAATGCTTCTATTCAGTTACCAATGCATAAAGTAGTTTAATTTGGCAGAACTTCTATTTGGAAGAACACAGCGTCCTGAAGCTGGTTTTCTTATGCAAAGCCTTCCTTCTAGCTTTCAGCAGGCAAGGTGTACACCATATACGCTCATACCAATGAGCTTAATCCAGAGAACATATATAAATAGAAAGGGAAAAGGTGTACATTTCCTATTGGTAAATGAGTCTGAGTTTAAATTAATGTAAACTGGTTATTCTACAGGGAGCCCAATTGTCATGCAAATTACAGTAACCTATACTCTCCTCTGCTTTGGCTGACTTTGTTCTTTCTGGTTTTTTAAACCAAAATCCTCGGACTTCTTCCCGTGAGTTACTCTGTTAACAGCATTTTGATTTCATTTTGCACATAGGGATACAGCTCTGATTATAGGTATTATAGATAGCTAAACATATTTCATATTTATGTCTAGGAGTACCAGAACAACTGAACTGCAAATGACTAGCTTTGATATAAAGATGAATTTTCTTATTGACAGTTATAAATAACAAAAGAACAGAACAAACTTTTCAGCTTTGTCTAATAAATTCAGTGATAGCTGGAACTCTTAGCAAAACTTTTCCTGGCACCATGAAATACACCTTGAGATATAATAGAGATAATTAAAAACACCATTAGAAGGAATCTTGCATTAAAAGTCAAACACCCTTGTTTGCCAGTATGCTGCTTATATAAACAAAAATGAAAACTATGTTATTCTTCAGTAATGATCCAAAATTATTTCCTTATATTCTTTAAAATGATTGTGGTTTGGATCATCACGGCAGAATATTGTAAGAATTTTAACAAACTTTTGATGTGTAAAGCCACACTAAAAATGAGCTATATCCAAGTACAGAAAAAAACCAATATTTTATTTATAATCTTAGTTTAGTGTTTGAACTACAAATTCTGGTTCTAGAATTGTTTAAAAGATCATGGGTTTTATAGGTTTTCACAGGTAAATTAATTTCTGGGTTTCTTTTTTTTTTTAACTTTTTCTTCTGTTTTTTCACAGAATGGTGCTTTTGGTAAACACAGAGCAAATCATTACATGGAAAAAAAAGTTTTGCTTGTTGTTTTTCTCACTTGTAAAATTGCTGTTATTATTCCATTCTCTATTGAATAGTTTCAAAAAGGGCATGAGAAAACAAAAGAAAAAAACAGAAGAAGTGACAAAATAGACCGAATCTCACCACTAGAATTCACCATAAAAATTCCCAAAGTGTAACAGAATTCTTACAAAATTTCCTAGACCAGTTCTTTTAGTGAATCAAGATCTCCTATGAAAAATATGGCAAATGGGAATCAGGGTAGGTTGGGGAGGAAAAAGGGAACAAGGAGGGTAAATAAGTGCAGCAAAAACAGGTTCTGAGGAATACACATAATTTTGTCTGCTTTAGATCACAATAGAATTTTTAATAAATAAATTTCTTTTTCTTTGTAAAGACACTTTTGAAACAGTAGATTTAGCCCAGTCATTTGTGTCATTTGTTTTATAAACCATCTTTTGTTGTGCCCACCCCCACCCCATAATGTCATAAATGTTTTAGATCTGAGTCTCTTGTACATTGTCTTTTGAGTTCATTCGGATCAATAACGGTTCATGCACTGAACTGTGTATTGAATTTATTGTGTTAACTGTTGTTGTGTGGTTGAAAGGAGACTTATAAGAGTTATAGTGATTTAGGTGCTCATGCTCTATTGCTGGCATGGGCAAGTGACTCTCTATGGGTGCGTCACCTGTAAGCTCATCATCCACATTAATGATCTCTACAGTCCGTGTTGGAGCATGATGGTTCTGCCGGTGATGCTGTTTCCTCATTTTGTAGAAAATGACCAGCATCACAGCAGCCATGAGAGTGATAGCCACAAAACAACCAATTATGATTTTGGTAGTCTTCATAACCTCATCTATTCCTGGGATCCCGTTGTTTGCGTCCGTCACAGGAATGGTGAACGTTTTCTCTGTTGATCTTGTGCTCTGTGGAGTGAGTGAGGTTGTCATGTTAGTGGTCTCCCAGTTGGTAACTGGTGTGGGCCCAACCTGCTCTGTGGTCTGTGCCTCATCCTGAGAAGGTTCCACAGTCTCTACTGTGACAGTTGAAAAGTATGTATAACCAGGGTTATCCAGCGCAGTCACATTCAGTGTGGCAGAAGCTGTGGTATTTCCAACAGAGTTACTCACCATGCATGTATACAAACCCGTGTCTTGCACAGTTACCTTTGTAAAATTTAATGTACCATCACTGAGCACAGCAATCCGAACTCTGTATGCCCCATGCGTCATAACAGATCCATTTGGAGTAATCCAAGATACAGAGGTCAGGGAGGTTGATGCCCGGCATTTCATCTCTGCAGCCATGCCTTCAGTGACGTTGAGGTCTGCTGGTGGCTCCACTATGACTGGAGCATAACACGTGAAGTAATTCAGGTCCAGCTCACCAATGTACCTTCCTTTTAAACTGGGAGGTGTGTGGCAACGGGCACAGCATGCAGTATTGGAGGGTGCCTTGTCTTTAATCCACCAGCTGAGCCAAAGGATATCACAATTGCAGTTCCAAGGATTGTGATGCAAGTGGATCCTTTCTAGGCGGAGTGGTGTGAACAGGTCATGAGGCAGTAGTGTTAGATTGTTGTGTGCCAGATTGATCTCTACAAGTGACTGAAGGTTATCGAAAGCATTCCTTTCTATCACTTGAATCTGGGACTGTATCATCCATAATTTCTGAAGATGCATTAACCCTTGGAAAGAACCTGGCCGGATGGCAGTCAGGTGATTCCCAGAAAGATCTAACTCATCCAGTTTTACAAGTGGGGTGAGGTTAGGAATCTCTCGAAGATTGCACATGGCAAGGTTCAAATACCTCAAGTTAGACAGACCTTCAAAGGCACCTTCTGAGATGTATGAAAGCCTTTTCAATTCCCCCAAATCCAGCCTCCGGAGAGAAGGGATTCTGTTAAAAGCATAAGAAGGGATGCTCTCAATGGGGTTGTTTCTCAACCAGAGTTCCTTCAGTTTTGACAGGTATACAAAAGCCCCATTTGGGATAGTGGTCAGACGATTGTCAAAGAGTTCCAAAGTGTTGAGATTGGCCAGACCATTGAAACTTTAATGATTTGGATCTGGTTCTCATGGAGATTGAGTAACCGGGTGTTGGTGGAGATGCCGTCTGGCACGTCTCTCAAATTTTTCCGTACACAAATAACTTTACTGAACTGGTTGCTGCAGGAGCAGACAGAAGGGCAAGTTTGAGCCCTCACTAGACCAGCCACCACAAGAAGCTGAAGAGCCAACAGCACCACAAGCAGGGGGTCAAATAGGGCCCTGTTAAACCTAGGACCTATCATTATCTGCTGTGGATGTAAGGTCATCTTGTTCAACATTCATAATTTATTTGGTGTTGGTCCTTCTGGAGTTTGAATAGCCTGAAAGAAAGAAAGAAGGGAGAAAGAGAACATTAAATTAATCTCAAATATTTAAGTGTGCTCTCTAAACAAAGACTTTGCAAGTCCTTTCAGTCAACTCTACTACAGCTATAGTAGAACAGCTATAGAAATTCTAATATTTTGTTTCCTTTACACCTATGTATGTGAGCTGTAATTGGCAATGAGGTAAGAAAAAAACAGACACCAGCTTTTCCCGATCATTCCAATGTATAACGCACGTAGCTGGATGGCAGATAACAAGTTCAACCACAGTGGATACCTAAAACAGATGTTCTAACTCATTGGAGAGTTGAAAGAAATGACAAGGGCCTCGAAAGGCAAAAATGAGTAAGATAGGCCTCGTCAGACTATTCAAGGCTTTAGCCTTCTTAACACATTATAAGACAAGACAATAGATAATATGAAGAGCAAGCGGAGACTCCTATTCTGTATGGGTGAAAATCTTTGTCTATACAAACATGGTTCCTGAATCGGAGTTTAACTAGAAGTAAAGCCTTTAATACTGAATATAGCAGGTCACACAAATGTCAAGGCAAGTTGTTGCCTATTCCAAAAGAAAAAGATAAAACACAAAAGAAACATGCTGAGCATCAATTCTTCCCTACTGTTAAACAGCTTCATCCAATTTCATGATATTTCCTCCTCAATTCTTTTGTTTGGCACCAGCAGCAGAGAAACACTCATTAGTAAATGTGTGCTGAACACAGAAATAAGAATAGCCATTTAAATGCTGAAAAATATCTCTATAGCTTCAGGGCTGCCAGTTTCATTGTCACCTCTAAAAAAATTATACCGATCTTAGTGTAAGGGGAAAAAAGACCTTTACACTACAAATGATCATTACCATTTTAAGAATTTCAGTACTGATTCATTTGTGGTAGTTCTTAAAGCCCCCCTCCCTCAGTTCATTTTCAATCTGCTGCTCAGTGCAAGGTCCCTCTGCTGTAGAGATTAATGAAATTTCCTATAAATCAGCCAAAAGTGAAGTCTAATAAATTACAGCAAGCTTAAAGCATATTTATAACCTAGAGCACCCAAATACATAATACATGTATTCAGTAGAACAAAATACTATAAGGCAATGGTTTTCCACTCCAGGCTCCAAATTGTTTTATTTTGTTTAAAAGCTATCTTTCTTAAAAAAAAATACAGAAGAAAATATATTAACTTGCATCTCACAGCAATTCATTTAATGAAAGACTCTTTTTCTAATTATATATTCAGACAATGTGGTTTTGAGAATTCATTTATGCATTTTTTAAAAACTTGTTATAATGGTTCAGAGCTAGCAAGTGTTCTCATCTCACTTTTAATAATTTACTGCAGAGAAAGCCAATATAATGGTTAAAAACCTGTGAATGGGAATTGGAAATTCTGGGCTGTATCTGTTTGATCTGCTCTGTGCTATTTATAAAACATCATTCTTGTTATGAAAGATTCATGAAACTAATGTGTTCCACAACCTTGAGCAAGTCACTCAGCTTTTCTCTCTGTAGCTTACACTTCTGTCATATGACTCCGGAGAGCCCTGTGGCTGTAGTGTTAGATGTCATTGCTCCCATCTCTCCATCCCTTCCCTCTGCCAAGAACCGTACTTCTGAACATTGGCTTCATGGGTTTAGGGTAATGTACTAGATGGGTATGAGGTTTAATAAGACCAAGTGCTGTGTCATGCACTTGGATCACAACAACCCCATGCAATGCTACAGGCTTGGGGAAGAGTGGCTGGAGATCTGCCTGACAGAAAAGGACCTGGGGGTACTGGTTGACAGCCGGCTGAATATGAGCCAGCAGTGTGCCCAGGTGGCCAAGAAGGCCAACAGCATCCTGGCTTGTATCAGGCATAGTGTGGCCAGCAGGAGTAGGGAAGTGATCGTGCCCCTGTACCCGGCGCTGGTGAGGACGCACCTCGAATACTGTGTTCAGTTTTGGGCCCCACACCACAAGATGTTGCATTGCTGGAACATGTCCAGAAGAGAGCAACAAAGCTGGTGAGGGGTCTGGAGCACAAGTCTGATGAGGAGCAGCTGAGGGAACTGGGGTTGTTCAGCCTGGAGAAGAGGAGGCTGAGGGGAGACTTTATTGCCATGTACAACTACCTGAAAGGACTTGTAGCCAGGTGGGTGTTGGTCTCTTCTCCCAGGTAATGGCCAATAGGACAAGATGAAATGGCCTCAATTTTTGCCAGGGGAGGTTTAGATTGGACATTAGGAAAAATTTTTTCAATGAAAGAGTTGTCAAGCATTGGAACGGACCACGGAGGGAAGTGGTCGAGTCTCCATCCCTGGGGGTATTTAAAAGATGGGTAGACGTGGTGCTTAGGGACATGATTTAGTGGAGGAATGGCAGGATTAGGTTAACAGTTGGACTTGATGATTTTAAAGGTCTTTACCAACCTAAACAATTCTATAATAATGTAGTAGACTAGATGAGGGGTGGCTGCTGTACACACCTTCCTTTTTACTGCAGCCTTGCAAGGTTACTTATCTTTTCCAAGGTGCTGAACATGGAGAAACACTCTCAAACTAATCACTGAAATTCAAGATCCTTTACATTAAAAATCCAACTGTAGTAAAACTATCTGCAGAAAGGGGGTGAAAAGGACCAGGTTCCCATCTTTCTTACACAGTCATGAAGAAGAATCTGCCCGTTGTGGTCAAAAGAATTACATAAGTGAGTCCAATATCAATTTCAGGCTCCTTAGTTAAGATCCGTGATCCATGAATTTTGCTGTTGAATAGTAATTAACCATCTTCTGTGATAGTTAATGTGATTATATTAGCTTTTTTGTTTGTCACCAGTTGTGTTTTTTTATTCAGTAGGTTTGTCTTTTCTTTCCTTTCTCATTTTTTAAATTCTTCTAGAACTTATCCCCTAAGGAGTTGAACTGAATAATGAATGCCATTAACAAGTAATGAAACAGATACAGAAATACACCAAACCAATTATTTTACCATTGCACTGGTACAGTGTTATTGTCTTCACTGGAACCGATATAAGACAGTCCAGCTTCAGAGCTGCCAATTATCCTTGCATGGCTGGTGTGGCACCAGGAACACATGTGGCTTGTAGAGATAGAGGAATCTTCTTTGTTTTATCTCAGGCCCATTCACTATTAGAGGCCAGCTTTGCAAGATGCCATATGTTTTCTCTATCTTTCTTTTTGCTACTTTCTGCTCTCATTCCTGTATCTTGGATACCCTGAAGGACCAATAAAACTGTGGGATTTGTAGAACAGGAAAGCATAGGAAAAAGAAGACAAATCATGAGGGAGCAAGTACCCTCAACATCAGCCAGTGTACGCATACTCCCCTCAGTTGCTTCTTTGCCAGCCTCTGTAAAGCTGATGATGCCGAACCATGCTGCAAGCACTACAAAGCACTTCCTTCCTGTTCTGATTTAGAATCACAGAATCAGAATTGTTCAGGTTGAAAAAGACCTTTAAGATCATCTGTTTAGTTTAAGTACAGTCATTAACCTTACTGCCATTCCACCACTAAACCATGTTCCTAAGTCTCTCTCTTTTAAATACCTCAAGGGATGGGGACTCAACCACTTCCCTGGGTATCCTGTTCCAATGCTTGACAACCTATTCAGTGAAGACATTTTTCCTAATGTCCAATCTAAACCTCCCCTGGCACAACTTGAGGCCATTTCCTCTTGTCCAATTGCCTGTTACCTCGGAGAAGAGACCAACATCCACCTCACTACAGTCTCCTTTCAGACAGTTGTAGAGGATGTTAAGGTTTCCCTTCAGCCTCCTTTTTTCCAGGCTAAAAAAATCCCCGTTCCCTCAGCCGCTCCTCATAAGACTTGTGCTCCAGATGGTCTTCTTGTGCCTGATGGTATCTCCCACCGTTCCCTTCACCTACTCCTTTACCCAGCAAATCTTCCCTTTCCATAATGCACATACGCTCCTGGGTAAAAAAAAAAAAAAAGATAACACCATTTTACTTGAATACAGTACTTCATGAAAACAAAAAAATTATCCGGTTATAAGACTGATTAGCAAAAATTGTTCATACTAAACCAAAATGTTTTCATGCCTCAGTTGCAAAAAGATTTTAGTAGAAATGTTTTTGTTTTATCTTCTTAAAATAAGTTCCCTATATTATTCCCATTTTTGGTTATTGACTCAAACAATGAATCAGTCACACAGAACAGCTCTTTCCTGGTGCTGAAGGCCAAAATTGCCCATCGCTTTTACATTTACCTTTTTCCCCAGTCCTGTGCTAGGGATGTCTCAATTAAACATATGCCTCAGAACTGTGATCTATTGAAGACTCTCAGGGAATTCTGCAACCTCCAGGGTATTCTGCAACCCTCAGGTTTCTGCGAAATTCAAACCTGTATATACTTCAAATACAAGCTTGGTCACTGACTACTTGTTAGCTGTATAGTGTATAATTTTGAAGACAGGATCATCGTTTTGTGAGATGTGGATGGAAGGTTCTAGATATGTTTTCATGTGTGGTGGTGTATTTGCTTTTTCTGTGTCTAAGCTGTATCTTGTTTTGTATATAAATACAGAAGATCTATATTGCCATTCCTCTGGAACATTTTCTGGGAGGCAGTGATATCAAATCTTAGCTTTTGTAGCCACCATTTGATTAAATTTTGGTTTTATTTACATTACTAAACTTTTTTTCCCTCTTCTTTGGTAATACAGGAAGCAAAATGCAATATTTAGCATAAGACCCCACTAACTGGGCTTGGTGCTGCTAACGTCCAGGGGAGATGATGATTCAGAAAAGCCACCATGGCCATCAGAAAATATGCTAGACAATGCCTTGCAAGTTCTCACTCCTAACCGATGAGCTTTGCATGAGCCTAACATACTGCAGTGAGATTCCTAGTGGCAGTAGGAATGCAGTAAAAAGGTCCTTTCTTTATACTGGTGGTATTCCACAGCTCAGAGCTTAAGTATTCAGGAAGTT